GAATAGTGTTCATAGTGGTGCTATAATGATTAATGGTAGGTAGGTCTCATTTTTCAATGACTAGTATGCATTCAACGTCATTGGTGCGTTCTCGGACTCTTGGATTGCTTCACTTCTAACTTGGCCAATTTTCAATAGGAAATATGACACTATGTGTGATAAGTGGAACCAAACTTCAACATAAATCAAATCATAACTCTAGAAACTAACTCTTGAAATTTCATACATTTATTCCCCTTAATGAATTTAAATAAAGCTAGAACTACAGTGGTTTGTGCAGAATAAAGTGGTACCATCATTTATTTCGTTACCTGCTCATCAGCTGTTTGCAGGCCACAGTCATTATTAAGTATATCAACAGAAACAATTTTAACCTACTTGCACAGAGTTCAATATATGCATGCAGTAATATATATATATATATATATATATATATATATAATATTAAACACTATTCCGAACAATAATGATCATATACAATGGAAACTTTCGACATTACGTATACAGATGAAAGAGAGATGAAAATATCCAGTTATCCAGGGCAAAGAAAGACTGATAACTGTTTCTTTCTGTACGCACAAATCGGGTCTCAGGCATCTGATGGAGATGGCTTCAGCAAACTTGAGGAGAATTGAACTCTTTTGCCTATTGATAATTTTGAACGATCTTGCGACGTCCACCTTATAACCCATATCACGGAGATGCCTGGCGATGGCACTGTTTAAAGCATTTGTTCCCTTTAGACATTAGCTTTTTGATACATGTTCAGAAAATCGTAGATATGACCTTCTTTCTGTTCTTCCAATCTAACTGCTCCCGCAGATATATGTAAATTTGTATATACTGTTGGAGTTGACATGAGAAGGATATCTATCGATTTTTGATTGCACCAAAGAGCAAGTTGTTAGATAGACGGAATCGAGCTTAGCTGCAGGATAGGCCCTGGCTAGTGACGTACTCAGTCTTCCGTTGACCATTGCTGCGATGTTTTCACCTTTATAATCAAGCTGAATGTAGACTGGCTTTTTCTCCACTGCGATTTGTTTGACATTTGAGGAATCAAATCTTCCGTACTTGTTAATGAACCTTTGAGGGTAACCATTGCTCTTTAACATCTTTTCAAGAAACACAAATAATGACTGTGGCCTGTAAGCAGCTGATGAGAAGGCAACGAAATAAATGATGGCGCCAGTTTATTCTGCAAAAACTGTAGTTCCCCCGCTTCATTCTAACTCTTGAAAATCAGTGTGATACTTCCTAGTAAAGGTCTACAGGTGATAGTTAACTGGAGTTCCAATGAAAAGTCGTGACCAGTGGTATCCACGTGTCTGTCTATAGGACAAATATTCCCCGATGGCACTGCCTGGTGCCAGTCACTTACTACTGGTAGCAATAGGAATTCATAGGCCACTACTACTAAATGAAGTCGCAGTGGCTGAATGGTCTACAAGTTTGCTTTGTAAATGGAAAGTCACAGGCTCCAAAGCTTGTTGAGTGCCTACCCATATGAGAATTAACAATCAATACTACAGTGTCACTGACAGAATTACACTGATAATAATTGGCAGGGTATAGGTATAGTAGTATATAGCGTACCCTTTAATCTCGCTTTGTTTTCGCACGGAGTTTAATTTGTATCGAACTAGATTAAACTTTGAAATATTGTCATTTGATACAACTTGTTACATACATTAGACGCAATAGAGCAAACAAACAAAATAAGATAATGCAGAAAAGTGTTAGATAGATAAAACTTCAAAAAGAAATTATGGAAAACAATGAGAACAATGTAAAGGAATCTGTGATGGTGGTTACATGTAGAATTCTATACGCCCTTCATACATTTGTAATCAAAAGTAATAAATTTATACAATCATCATGTTGATAAGATGAAATGAGTGAGAAAAAAACACAATTGCTGGTGTGCACGGATTTGATCGATTGCAAGTATGATCACGACATGTTATCAGTTAGAGAACCAATGGAAACACCAGGAAGTACGACACAGACACACAGACATTTTGTCCAAGGTATAACATTTTCATCAGCATCCACCCACGCACAGGGGGTTCGAGCTCACAACCATTAGGTTGCATAGTGAGCTCGTAGACACGATTCAATGACCCATGAATTATAAATTCCGCCAATTCGCGATATATATGTGATGCAGCCGGCAGCCAATGTCGTAGGCGAGTATCTGATTTGCTGGACTTCTCATCACTAAGAACTCCAATGTAACTTCCCGTACAGAGCCAGTCACTAGTAAGGACGAAACAGCTGTTCAATTCACGCTGGTTTTCTGATGATTCCCAAACTACAGTTGAAAAATTTTGTGGCATATTTATCATGTCAACTGTCAGATTTCCGTCATAAACCAACATCGCTTAGAAAGATCAGTGAGAACCAGGGAGCACTGGACACCAGTCTAGTCCCTTTTTAGGGACTCTTAAGCAGTGAGCGCCCATAACTTCATCAGGGGTAAAGCAGACAACCTTCAGATTATGATACCGAGCTTCCTAACTGAATTTGCTTCATGAAGAAGATATAACGACTGAAAATAATCAAAAATCCCCACAATTCCTAGTCTGACAGTCATTGTCGGCAGCTGAATAAATTTCCTGAAGATGAAGTGGTGCCCACGGTGTCAAGGTGAAGCGGATTCTCACTGAAGTAACTAACGAGCGCAGCACTATATTATGAGTTGACAAAGTTCGAATTCAGGAATCATTCACTGACTAGCTGACTGACTGGTTTCAACGTAGAACTCTCCACTGATGTGAAACAGTTCGAGTCACCACACTCCCTCCGTGTACCACACAAAGCGCAGAGAAGAGACTAGAGAGAGAGATTTCAAGGAGGGAGAGATAATAAACAGAAGTGTGAGTGAGGCGAAAAGAATAGTAATATGGAAGAACAACAGAATTTTATTGGATATTATAAATCACAAAGAGTGAATGCATCTGTGCCACCACATTGAGAACGAGGATTTTCAACCATATCACCACCAATTGTCTCCATCATTCATTGGGTTTTACCATCTCGAGGACCCCAACTAAATAGCCAACCAGTCTCAACCTCCTTACTTGACAGTGGACCTCACTAACTGATGAAGCCACGTTTTGGTCTGACCACCGCCAACACCACTAGCTCTTTCCCAACCCTGACCCATCCAATGTCAGGTAACATTGCCCGTTGAGGAAGGCGAAGGCTAAGCATGCATGTGTAAGTCATGTCCTAAACCATCTCAGTCCATATAACTTCACAAACTCATCTATTGATTTCCCCTCTCACTCACTTAGCTACTCGACCGATGCCTAACCACAATGTTGCTCACCTTATTATACCAGCACTTAACACGAGATGTAGAAAGAAAGCTAGCCAGCCTTAACATGTCTTTCACTTTCAATGGTCGTCTCACAGTCATAAAGGAGGACGAAGCGGACTGCTGTACAGTACACACATCCTTTGATCGACAATCAGCCGGATATCACGTCTACTAGGCCAGAGATGGCGTAAGTTGGCCAATGAAGGCCAAACGAGCCCTCTGTATCCGTGATGAGATTTCGTCAGCGATCAACCCATTGGCTCTGAGGCTGATGCAACTTCCCAAATAAGTGAAGTGATCAACACGCTCCACTAACCACCTCACTCCTGCCTATCTTTCAGCTAAGAGTGAGTGAGTCGATGTAGTCCAGTCCCGTAGCCTCATCATCTTACATTTGACGGGGGCGAATTGAATGACAGATCATTGAATGCCAGCACAAGTGACTGTTTGGTCAAAGAGCTCAGTCTTGTCACCTGAACGTACTGGGCTCGGTCCCTGACAGTGAAGTCATGTTTGCACACTAATGAGGCAAAATCTAACAATTCAATTCAATTCCGACTCCCCATTAATCCTCTTATCTGAAATTTATTCTTGCATGCCCATTGTGTAATAAAGGGAAGAAAATTTTCTTCAACGTATTTGTAATGTGCTGAAAACGTATAGCAGCTTTATTACTGAGTAGTAGAGGTGTGCGTGTGTGTAACATAACTCATAAGTTAGTTGTAAAGATAAAAAGAAATTGCATCAACGATACAATGGAAAAGAAACTGCAAAAAACCTCACTTCATGATTCATTTGCTCCTGTACAGCTAGTTATTATATTGGCCACATAAACTGCACACTTTCCAAACCCATCCCTAAACACTAACCGATATTAATTTAAGTATTGGTTCTGTAGGGAGTTTGTTTGATTGGTCGGAGGATTTCATCATGAGCTGACATCAGTTAGAGAACCATTGGTAAACCAGCTGGGAGTACCAGACAGCTGTTTCCTCCATTTTACCTTCGGACTCTTCATCAGTACGTATCCACCGGGGTTCGAACCACAGGACCTTCTGGTTACAAGGCGAGCTAGCTCGTAAACCATTAAGCCACCGGGACCCGAGCCATGGACCACCGGATGAGGTCCCAGTGGCTCAATGGTCTACGAGCTAGCTCGCCTTGCAACCAGAAGGTCCTGGGGTTTGAACCTTGGCTGTGGGTGCGCACTGGTGAAGAGTCCCAAACTAGGACGAAACAGCTGTCCAGCACTCCCAGCTGGTTTTCTAATGGTTCTCTAACCAATATCAGCTCATGATGAAATCCTCCAAATATCCAGTATGAATACCAAGAGAAACAATGCAAAACAATTAATTAGTTCACTTCTTGAGTACATGATGAAGGCAAGCCACAACGCAAATCTACCAAAATTGTCTTTGAAACTTGAACCTAGCACCTACCATTTCAAACACCACCATAGGACGATAAGCGTGTGCCCTAGGTTCCATTGGCATTTACCGTCCCCCCCCCCCAAAAAAAAATAACATCATCGGTGAAGCATCCATACTAACAGCTGACATGTCAACAACACAGATCGAACATTTCGGTCATATATATACAGATACTATCAATCAACAGGAAATGCAAGCATAAATTTAAAAAAAAACAAATAATGTAAACTAAAACAGCAGACTTACTAAGGAAACTGCGGTATATTCAATGTGATGCTGCCTTCAGAATTTTCACCAAATCTTAAAAATCCATAAAATCCAATTGCCAAATTTAAGCAAACAACAATAATCATGCCAACATTAAGAACACCAAACCATGATCCATATCCAATAGGATCAGCCATTTTACTTTGAATTGGTAATACCTTGAATATTGGTGAGGGGTGGGAGTGGGGAATGGGGAATAAAACAGAAAAGTGTCATTAACACACAAATGCCAAATATATATGAATGTTATCTTTCTTGTCAACAGAATTACTAATAAATAGTGTGAATGGGCGTCAATTTCAGTATTCTATAAATGTATGCTTGAAACCCTACACCTCAATTCTTATTTATTGAAGACATGAAAAGGTTGACTGTTTTTGATCATGGATGTCTACGATCTCTTTCCCACGTTAGGTGGTATAATAAGGTAAGTAATGTTGACGTTAGGCGTAGAGTGTTGGGCGAGGAGGGAAAAACAATCGAAGAGGCTATAATAAAGTTACATAGATTGAGATGGCTAGGTCACGTGCTGCGCATGCCTAACCATCGCTTCCCCCGACGGACGGGCATTACTAGCTGATATAGGTCCAGGTTGGAAAAGAGTAAGTGGTGGCCAAACAAAAACATGGCCTCATCAATCCATGAAATCCTTGACAGTTAAACTGAGTCAGGTAGGGAGATGCAGACTTCCTGACTGGTTGGGGCCCTCGGGACTCTGAGAATCAATGGCTGGAGACAATAGGTGACATGGCTCAAAATCGTTATCAATGGCTAACTCAGATGTATTCAGTCTCTGTAATGTTTCATATTCCTTTCTACCATTACTCACTCTGTTCCACTCTTATACTTGTCAAAAGTGTATTGATTCTCTTCACTCATTTTCTTGTCCACCTTTGTGTGCTATTTGGAACGTGGGAACTCGAACTGCTGCACTTCGGTGCCAAGTTCTATGTTGAATCCAGACAGAGACAGACATTCTTTTGCATTAGGTGTGAAACATACGGCTTCAAGCTTGAGCTCTGAAGTTCCAGCAGCAGTGGAGTTTTTTACGGGATGGGCTAGCGCTAAATTCACGCTCAACTTTCCTTCTTAACTGGGCTTACTACCAGCTAAATGAGGTTTAGGAATGCGTCGGCTGGCACTCTCGAACCCCGGACTGTGTGCATGGTAGGCCAGTAGATATTCAATCACTGGACCTACAACGCACAGAAATGAGTGTGACTTGGTGACAATAGTAAAGGACATTGACATGTGTTACGTAATGGATGTGAATCCTGAGCAGTTCATTTGCAGACATGTCTTAGTGGTGATTTTGTTTTAGGCGGCGGCGGTGGCAGTTTCCGGTGACCCTGTTAGTGACATGTACAGATGTGCCTGTGTCGAAAAGTGGACGAACACCTCACCATCCCAAGAGGAACTAGAACCCGCAACCTTAGGAGACCTTTTACCTGAACTACACAATAGTAATAAGTAAGTGAAGAAATCCATTATTTGAATATGACTTTCAGTTTGACTAATACTCAAATTTAACTTGATATATACCTGGAAAAGAGACCAACACATCAAGTTCGCCATGCTGTCGTGTAAAACCAGCCAGAATTGAATTGGCGATTAACCAATTCATTCGGGCAAAAGGCAAGTACGCCTGATCATTTTCCACACATAATGACGAAATCTCTCTTCTTGGAAGACTTAATTTTCACAAAATTGTACAATAATCTTCTTTGTATAAGGGAGAAATAATTAACCTGATTACCGTACAAATGACTTAGCTTTCAGTGTACATTTTGTCACGAAACAACATTAGTTACAGAGATCAGTGATAATCAGGGAGCACTGGATATCGATTTCGTCAGAGTTTACAACTCCTCATCAGTGCACATCCTCGATATCAATTTCAAAGATAGGAGGGGGGCGGGTCTTTCAGCTTACAATTCTAATCTCGTTGACCAGTCACAATCGCTTGGACCGGAATTCAATGAGACCAGTGAATTCTAACATTGTCAATTCGCATGTCATATAGCGCTACACCCTCCCCCTCCAAAGCAACATCTTCGATGAGTCATCGAATCGCGACCTAAGTGGGTGGATGCTCGTAACCTGAAGGTTTTAGATTTAATCTCTAACCATGAAGTCATAAGTGTGCGCTGCTGAAAAGCCCCAAATTAGGATGAAATCATGGCTCAGTGTCTTGATCCCTAATTGATGTTGCTTTATAGCGAAATTCCTAGAAAAAAATCTATAATCTACACTTACACATCAGTGTTTAACTGCTGCTAATGAAGAGTACAGAAACACACACAAACACACGCAAAAAGTGAAAATCACTTAAGTAAATACTCACCGTTATTTTTTTTTTAAAAAAGACAAATAAACTTAAGATTTACCATTGTTACATAATATGTAATATTATAAACAGAATTAGTGCAATATAAATGTGAAAGAATGTATGTATGTGTAGCAGCTGGAACGAAATGGTTATATATCCTTTAAATAACCATTCAGACAGACTGCATTTAATATCGGAATCATATGTATGTTTGTTTTTTCTGATGCTTTCTTAATAACATCGGATAATTACAAACAAGATTCCAAAACAGAGATATTACAAAACAAGAAAGATGAATGATTAGACAATCAATCCTACTTAAAAAGATGACACAGAGATGCCCATTTTTTATTGCGTAAGTGTTAAAATCTGGAATATCGCACTGTTAAAACTTCAACTGTCCAGATAGACTTGCACATGTGATGTGCTAATGAACTTAAGCCTAACTGCTGACTTCAGCGACTCAGGGATTAACGTGCTCCTCCACCAGGGAATAATAGACTCGTTGACCTGGCATATGCAGATGATATAGTCTCCCCCCCACCTGGGTGAAGACGCTGACAAAATACACAGTCTTCTGAACACCTTGAGCAGCAATCTTCAAATATTTGGCATACAATTCATTCCTGTCAAATGTAAGGTGATGAGACTACAGGACTGGACTGCATCGACTCACTCACTCCTAGCAGAAAGATAGGCCGGAGTGAAGTGGTTAGTGGAGCGTGTTGACCACTTCACTTATTTGGGAAGTTGAGTCAGCCAACCCTAACGCCATTGGGTTGATCGCTGACGAAATCTCATCACGAATACTCAAGGCTCGTTTGGCATTTATTGGCCATCTTACGCCATCTCTGACCTAGTAGACGTGATATCCGACTGGCTGTCGACCAAAGGAGGTTTGTACTGCTCAGTAGTTCACTCTGTTCTACTTAACGGTTGGATGTGAGACATGGCCATTTAAAGTGAAAGACATGTTAAGGCTAGCTAGCTTTCTTTCTACATCCCGTGTTAAGTGCTCGTATAATAAGGTGAGTAACATTGAGGTTAGGCATCGGTCGAGTACTGGGTAAGTGAGAGAGGAAATCAATCGATGAGGTTGTGAAGTGACATCGATTGAGATGGTTTAGGACATGTCTTACACATGCATGCCTAGCCATCGCCTTCTTCAACAGGCAGTGTTACCTGACATTGAATAGGTCAGGGCTGGAAAAGAGCTAGTGGTGGTGGTGGTCAAACCAAAACGTGGCTTTATCAGTCAATGAGGTCCACAACACTTAGTTTAAGCCAGCCAGTCAGCCACAGAGGGAGGTGAAGACTGGTTGGCTATCTAGTTGGGGTCCTCGAGATGGTAAAAACCAATGAATGCTGGGGACGATTGGTGGTGGTATGGTTGAAAACCCTCGTTCTCAATGTGGTGACACAGATGCATTCACTCTTTGTGATTTATGATATCCAATAAAATTCTGTTGTTTTTCCATGTTACTATTCTTTTCACCTCACTCAAACTTCTGTTTATTATCTCTCCCTCTTTGGAATCTCTCTTTACTGTCTTCTCTGCGCTTTGTGTGGTACACGGAGGGAGTGTGGCGACTCGAACTGTTTCACATCTGTGCAGAGGTCTACGTTGAAACCAGTCAGTCAGTCAGTCAATCACCAACATTAAGTAACCCATGGAGATATAATTTACGGCATTTAGTAACAAGAATGAATGTATGAGACCTCCTACCTATACTTGTCAGTTTAAACGTAATCGATATATATATATATGCATTATGCAAAATTGCATCCTATTCAACAAAAATACAAATGTGAAAAATGTACTATCAGCTCTGAGAATATAACGTAAATAATCACGTGGTATAACATTGCAGTCGACAGATATATATATATATATATATGCAGAATAATATATAAATTTAGGCTTAGAAAATCACAATATACACATACATGTGATACTATTGAAATCAGTGAATTCGATACAAACCAACAGACCATACATGATGTGTTTTTAAGCTGGTGAATTGATACACAAGTATGCATTTAATGTATATGTCTTGAATTTCTAAATTTATTATAAACATAAGCCACATACAACCACAGATACATTTGTAACAACACAAAGAAATGATTCATGAGGCCGATTACGCAACAACTACATGGAATTTAGTTTATAGTAGCTACTCTTTATAAATTCTTAGCTGTAGGAAGGATATTTATTTTATTTTTTCTTAAACTTTTTTTATTTTATTATAGTTTGACTCCACACACAGTATTTTTGATACAAGTATGAAATTTTCAGCATGCAATATCGGTAGCCCACATTTTGCAGGCCGACCATTGATATCGGGTGTGCGTCCGCCGGGGATCGAACCCCGGACCATGTGTGCATGGTCGGTGAGCGTCCTAACCACTGTTTCGTCAAACAAAATCAAGCTATTATGTGTATAGGTGATGAAATATGTTTTTTTTTAAATGCAGTGTTCAGAGGACTGAACAGACACGCACACACGTACACCAACTTGGAAATCTCTCTGAGGTATGTAACACTGTGATAAGATGATACTCATTGAGGTTAGCAAATCGACAAAGTTGAAAATATAACGAAGTATTTTTATAAAAATCCGAATAAATCTGCTGAAGAAGCTGTGGCTTACACAGCGAAACGTTCAGAAAAATCTTGTTTTGATTTTCTTAATACGCTGGGATTAATTTAAATAATTTATAATGAATCAATCTGACTCGGCGCTCAAATTATTTCAGGAAGTTCGTAACACCTACGGCCTGGAAACCTATAATTATATATATGTCTGTTGGAAATGCTTCTCGTGATATGATTCAGGGACTTCACGCGTCATCTAAAGCCCTTCCAACAAACTGCTGCAGACTTTTACCAACATCTGCCTCTACTCTATACCAAAAATTAGATAGTCGAGAAGGATAAGCAACGAAGAACTCTGTAATGAACCAACCAACTAATACGCAGAAGAAAATGAGGATGGACTGAACACAACGTAAGAAGACCTCAAGCCAGGTACTCAAATGAGAAATGACTAGTTGGGCGTCCGAGAGTGACACAGAGATCGTATGAGATAAGAGCTGACGGGTAATCGTGGGGCTGGCGAAAGATTACTGCTAGTGAGACAATGTCAAATACACTGAATCACTGTAGAGAGAATGAAAATGTTAAACATGCGGATTCACGTACAAACTGGAATATAACAACGGGTGACTGGACCAAAGTAAGGTACCAATCCATACAGTCATCCACTAGTAGCATGAACTGTGTAGGAAAATATCTGGAGTTGCGTAACCACTTCAATGATTGACTAAAAGCCAGGTGATATGACTCATAATCAATCACAATACCTCAAATGTTTTTTTAACCTTATCTTCACTGCTTCACTTCCTTTTCTGACGCAACCTACCTACTATGACACTGAACACGTATCTCACTCATTTCTTTGTGTTCCGAGTGGGACATATGCTTACACCAAACTTTGGGCTTTGAAATCTCAGTAGCAGTCATGTTGTTCTTACAGAATCGGGTTGCTAGTCTCCAATGTAATCTTCCCTCTTTTCACAGATTACTACTACTGTCTAGTGAACTGGGCGGTTTTAAAGTGCATCAGCCGCCGATCGAACCCAAACTACGTGCATGGTTGGCAGGTTTTCTACTTCTAAACCACTGATGTTAAGTAAACAAATGTATGCTCCTAATCAAACTATATGAGGATATCAAAGCAACGAGGATCGGGAAAGCAAGAGAAGCTTTCACTACTTCCAAGTCTGTGTGGAGGTCAACAGCATTCAGCATCAAAAATAAGATCCGGATTTTCAACTCCAATGTGAAGTCAGTCAGTGCTACTATACGGATCAGAGACTTGGCGCGTCATAAAGAGCACTTCAAACAAACTACAGACCTTCATCAACAGCTGCCTTCGCTCAATACTCAAGGTTAGATGACCAGAAAAGATCAGCAACAGGGGTCTCTGTCAGTGAACGAACCAACCCACTAGGAACCGATTGTGCAACAAATCTGCCAGAAAAAATGGAGGTGGATTGGCCATACTCTGAGGAAACCATCAAGTGACATCACTAGATAAGCCCTCGAGTGGAACCCGAAAGGGAAGCGGCGTGTTGGTCGTCAGTGCAAGGGTGACTTGGAGGAGGTCATGTGAAGAGGAGATGAAAGCATGTGGGCAGACGTGGAGCCAGGTGAAAACTTTAGCAGAGAACCGAATGCAATGGAGAAGTGCAGCTGAAGCCCTATGTTCCTCTAGGAATTAAAGAAAATAATGATATAATCAAACTATATACATCCCAACAGATAGCTGCTACCTTCACGTGGTGGTCAGGCTGACTAATCGCAATAGCCCAACGAGCTACATGGATGGAACTAATGTTCGTGAGGATCGCTTTAATAACGGTCAAACTGAAAGGAGTTACCATCAAAGTGTATGTTGTTTGCACTATGTTGCGGGTCTGTGAGCAAAGTCGTACGGTTGGGAAATAGGGATTTAACTGCAGTAGGGGATTTTTCTCAGATGCTGGTCTTAGGAGGAGGTGGTGAGTTCTGCAGTCACACAACACTAATTCTCTTCCTACCTTAGGCATTTCCACAGTGCAGAAAACCGGGAAGTAAGAATCGCCTACACACTTCCATAAGTACGTAGAGCCTTCCTGATCATCCGCCTAACTATACGCACATACGTGTACAGAACAATCAATTTGTAAGAGGAAAACTGAATTATCTAATAACGGCATAATAATAATAATAATTCCACTTACCAAACTTATCCCTTCAAATGAAAACATAACTATACTGAATGCAATGAGTAGACCTTTGAAATCAGTGATAATTGGAAATTTACTGACTGGGTATAATCCAGATGTGAATAAATAGCCAAATATTAATAGCATACCAATTATAGTGCATATATTGGCCAAAGCAGATAAATACGTGACTACACGCATACTGCTTTTAAAATTCATCACAATTAGCACTAAACAGACAACAAATCCAACTAAGTAGATATTTGTATTAAGGTGCGGAAAGAAATATATTAAAAACTGTAAAATAAAAAAAACATTTTTTTAAAAAATGAAATGAATGTTTTATACAATTTATTAGTAATATGTAGCTTGTAAATCTAATTAATCAACAAAGACCTAAACTCTGTGCTTGTTTAAACTCAATTACTCAGGAAAAGGTTTTTTTTCATGTTCAAGGTTTAGAATCACATGCATTCTGTATGAAGGCTGATGATGCTACCCAGGCGACTAAAGTGGATGGAACAGGATTCGAACCCTGGACGCAATGACTGCAACCTGAGGGTTTAAACTAGTGAGACACGTCTCCCCGTGCATTAAAAGATTGGGGTGAAATGTTTTCATTCTAAACAAAACGGGTGTACAAACTCATGTAAAGAAAACACGGATATTTACTCACGGAGAATTACATCTGTGATCGAAATAATACAAACACGGACTACACGATATGTATATATATATATATATATTTGACTAGACAGTGGGGAGTAACTGTGATGCGTCTAGTCATTCGTTTAGCGCAGGCTGAATTCTGCCAGTCAAGTTTACAATGCGGTCAGCATGCACTGTATTTCACCATTAGGGTGCACCTTGAATTGTTGTTAGATGATTGCAGAAATCCTCTGAGCTAGGTTTCGTGCTTGTTGGTACTCATTAGTGAGCAAGGCGTATGAGAAATTTTGAAGCAACTCATACCCCTTGAGATTCTAACCCGACTTAACCAGTGCTGCAGTCAGAGATGTTACCACTGAGTTATTTAGACTAGCGACTGACCTCCTGCAGAACTATAATGGATACTTTGATTGGACACTAGGTAGTAACTAATGTCCTGATAGAATTCGGTCTGTACCCACTCCAAGGACTAGGTGCACGACGTAAGGTGCTTCCTAGTATCTATTAAAGGTATTCATTACAGTCCTATAGGAGATCAATCACCAGCCAGAGTAGCTCAGTGGTACCGTCTCTGGCTGAAGCGCTGGTTGCCACGGGTTCGAATCTAAGAAGGAACATGACTTCCATAGAGACTGCAAACACACCTTGCTGACGATGAGCAACAAGCACGGAGCCTACGCAGAAATAAAACTAATTCCAGTGTCAAAACAAAGCAGCTGGTTAGGATGTGTAGTGTCACATTCAAAATACCACACTTGAAGACTTTCCTGTCCACGCTTTATTTACTTTCAAGAAATATTTCTGGATTTTGATCTAGCTTAAACGACTTACCATAGTGAAATAATTGACCGCTTCCCGCAGGATAAATTCACACTATGCAACCAAGTAATACAAAAACGCTATACGGAAGCAGAAGCTGACTAACCAGAAAGAACATCAATCTCGTGTCACTTTTTTACACCTATAACTACTAATTTTCGCCACTGTTGGAGAATCATACTATTGACCATTCCTTATGCTAAAGTTGTTCACAGTACGCACTATGCGTGAAATCGATATTTCTTTTGAAATGGGAGAGCGACGGGTAAGTGCTTTTCGGCAAACAAGTGGTCCAGTTCACAGATTCAAATTTAAAAGAGCTACTCTTCATCGACTCCTTATTGGTGTATATTCCACCAAAGAAATGAGAGGGGTAGCGAAATCATATTTAACTTTATAATTATGATTTTACTATTAGTAATATTGTCCCACTCATTTTAAAACCATAAATTGTTGTTCCAGTTTTGTAAACCAATGCAATTCTAATGTCTGTTTAGTTTCACAAAACCATTTAAATTTTACCACCACCAAATTCTTGATATAAAATCCTTAAAAAAGAGTTGTGTTGGTCAAATTTGAGAAAATTGACAGGCCTCATTTATGTGATCGATTGAAACTTATTATTTTATTATCGACAATAATAACAATGTAAAAGAATACCTGATCATTATTGGGGAATGATCTCATGTTTTAATTCTTCTTTGCTTTACACAAAGTCAATAATGATTGTGGCCCTCAGTGAAATGAATATCAACGCCATATTATACTCTTATTAAACACTAGGTAGTAACTAGTGTCATAAGTCTAGTCCTTGTTTGTTTGATGCAAACTGAATTCTACCAACCAAGTTTGCAATGTGGCCATCATTCTAAGTGGCTCTCTTCAAAGTGCACTATAAAAATTGTTGTTAGCCAGTTTAAGGCCATTGGCAGGAAGCCTCGGACCTGAGTTCCGTGAGTTATTAAAACTCGCCAACAAAGCATGTCTGAAGTCTTGAAGGAGCTCACGTCCCTTCTGAGACTGAATGCGAGTTACTATTTAGTATTAAATCAAAGTATCTAATAAAGTCCCACAGGAAGTCAATCGCAAGCCTGAATAGCTCAGTAGTAACGTTTATCTCTGACTCGAGAGCTGTGTGACACAGATTAGAATCTCACAGCCGATATGAGTTCCTTTGAGATTATTGCAGATACGCCTTGTTGACGAGTTCCAAGAAACACGAGACCTAGATCCGAGGCCTCCTGCTGATTGCCTCCAAAAATATTCAACTAAATATTAATTCATACTATATTCTAAAGTTGTCAAAGTAAAAGAAATTATACAGTGACATCAACATTATGCATTCACTTTACAAACTTACATATCGAATATTCTCCGTAATGAACAGTGTGTAAACACAGCAAAAGCCAACTTGTGTAATAATTAAGAAACCATTAACTGTATGCCTAAAGTATTTAAGATTTATGCCAAAAAAATGAATACTTTATTTTCCCTTTGATTTTTCTCAATTTCTCTGGACCATATTTAAGCACAACAAATACCGCCTCTGCATAATCCATTTTAGATCTATCCCATCCATATCTAATAAATAATGATTTAATAGAATCAGATAGATACACAACTCAAAACATACTTCACTTGAGCTTTATTTGCTGTTCTCAAGAGTACATGCATTAGATAAGTTGATACAAATCCAGCCACTATTAACATAACGAATCCAGTCTAAAACAATACACATACATAATATATATGTACTAATTAGGCAAAGAAAAATTTACCCACAAACCAGCATACTTGAAAACAACTGGCATAGATAATATACCAGTTCCAATATTCCCTTTGATAAAACTCATTAATGCTTGGTATTCACTATTATAAAATTAGAATTATATTATCCATCTTTAAAATTAATGGATTACTTTATATTTTTTCCCATTGCATGTGGATTATGTTCTTGAGTTGTACTGCCATGATCACCATCTTGTGAAGTAGTCGATCGATTATCTTCACTAGTATTTCCTTCATCAAAAGGAGTTTTATCGTTGCTAGTCATTGTTTTACATGTCACGTTAAGATATCTGTAAAAAGATGTAGGGAAATAAGATAAATTATAAGAAATACTCCGAGATAACTCGATTAGTTGATCAACTGAAACACCCCCCCCCTCACTTTATCACAATGACCTGATGGTGCAATTAACTCTATGAGGGGTAGAAGAGATATCCTGGAGACTTCGACATCACCTCCCAATAAAAACTCTACTACTTTTCCCAAACTTAAAATATACAATGAAAGATGTTCTAAAATCCATCACATATTAGTCTGTTTCAAATACAAGATAATTAAGTGATAGAGATAGAAACAAACTTCGGTGATTACATCACCATTATTTGTCCTCTTTTTTGGTGGACATACAACGATACTTGTTCGAAATTACAGTGCTAATGGATTTAAACAAGTATTGAAAATTATTTCACTACGTTACAGAGGAAGATATTTTCACCAACAGACACTTTCTAGGATCCTACAACTAACCAGTCACACAATACTTTGCAAAGAAAGCACAATGAAAACTCGCCAAGAAGTATTTCATGTCACTTCAGCTGATCGACCGGAGAAAACCACCGTATTCCTCTTATACATTTGGTGGTATACAAAACTCTTACATTCCAATCGCATTCGAAGCTGTCAGACTGATTTTACTGTACTCCAAAGGATGTCCTAATATTTAATCGGGAAGTAGAATACTGAGGTTAGACGTCGAATGTTCGGTAAAGAGGAAAAGTCAATCATTAATGGTGAACAGAATTTTACTACGGTAGACGACAAAAGTGAAAAACAATACGTTCGTGAGGTTTATTGATATTCCGGATCACGATGCCAGTGTGTGTAAACAGGCCACGCCACCAAAAGCTGGAATTCAGTAATCCAGAAAAACACATTTCTAGTGTATCAGGCTACGTGCCAGTTGTCCGCAACAGTTAGTTTAAGCCAGCCACAGGGGGAGGTGTAGAATTCTTGGCTGGGGTCTTCGAGATGGTAAGAACCAATGAAGGCTGGCGACATAGGAGGCTTGGATGGGATTTAAGAATACACTAGAGTGCGTCACTGCACCCTTTGTACCTTGGTCTACGCCTCGAAAATTATCTCAGAAACCACCTTGGATTAGTAATGAAATAAGGAGGTCACTAAGAAGACGAAAGAACTTATGGGACCGGTTTGCTGTGACTGGGGAGGGATGAGTTTCGGGTAGAATACCGCAAAGTTCGAAACCTTTGCAAGTATGAGAGTGACAAAAGTCGTATAGAGTATGAGAGACAGTTAGTACTGGATTGTGTGCATTATCCAAAAAGACTGTTCTCGTATATCAAACGCAGGACTCAAACTAGCAGTGGCATACCGTCCCTCATTAGCAACACAGGAGAGGCTGCAGAATAAGACGAAACAAAAGCTGAGGAGCTCTCCAAATATTTCTGTGATGTTTTTTCGTCTAATCGTACCACCCAGGGGTGTAGCGAGGTAACTGGTGTAGCCCCTAAAATGCCCCCAATTGTGGTAGATGATGCAATGGTTCTGAAACTACTGTCTAAGTTGAAGCCAGGTAAATCACCTGGACCAGACGGACTTCACCCTAGATTGCTAAGCTCCCTGGTGGATATAATATACATTCCACTTACGGAGATTTTTCAGATGTCTCTGACCCAGGCTAGGTTACCCAGAGACTGGAAAGATGCTTTTATAAGCCCCATCTTCAAAGATGGGAACAGACAGTTAGTATCTAACTACCGGCCTGTAAGTCTGACCTGCATTATAGCAAAGGTGTTAGAAAAACTCATAAGGGACCAGCTCTTAGCTCATACGGAAAAACATGGCTTACTGGCAGTGGAACAGCATGGATTCCGACCAGGACGATCCTGCTTGACAAACTTACTGTTAGCTAGGGAAGATTGGGTCGAGGCCAGGGATAAAAACCATCTACTGGACGTTGTATTTATCGATCTTAGTAAAGCATTCGATAAGGTATCCCATTTAGGTCTTCTTAGTAAACTTAAACATTTTGGATTAGACCAACGCTTATGCGAGTGGTTTAGTGACTACCTGATGGATAGGAGGCAGAAGGTAAGGGTTAATGGTGTACTGTCAGGGTGGAAAGCAGTACTAAGTGGAGTACCTCAGGGAACGGTACTTGGCCCCCTGCTATTCTTATTATACGTAAATGAAGTGCCAAAAATTCTTACCTCATCTTCCTTACTATTTGCGGACGATATTAAGATATGGAAAACCGTAAATAGTAACGATGATAGGTTGGTACTACAAAACGATCTAGACAAATTAACCGAATGGGCTAACCTTTGGAGTCTGGAAATTAATTCCAAGAAAAGCGCGGTAATGCACCTAGGTCAGAAGTCTTACACGTCGTACTCCATGGGGGACACAGAACTGCCAGATGTTAGGGAACAAAAGGACTTAGGAATTATTGTTAGCCATGACTTAAAAACAACGGCAAACTGTAATCGAGCCGCAGCTAAGGCTTTTCGAATGCTATGGGCACTTCGAAGAGCTTTCAAACGATTAGACGAGGGTATGTTCCAAGTACTCTATGCAACATATGTCAGGCCTCATCTAGAGTACTGCATACAAGCGGCGAGTCCATGCTTCAAAAAGGAGGCACATACCCTGGAAAGAGTACAGAGGGTAGGAACGAAATTAGTTAGTGGTATCTCACACCTTCCTTATGATAAGAGGATGGAGCATTTAAATCTCTTCCCATTATCATACCGAAGGAGGAGAGGCGACTTAATTTTGGCTTACCGTATATTCAAGGGTGATTTAGGGATTGACCTTTCAAACCTTTTCTCTCCCTCTAGGATACATTTACGGGGTCACCAGAAGAAGGTGCTCAAACCAAGGTCGAATAAAATACGTTTGGAGTTTAGATTCTCTCACAGAGTGGTCAACGACTGGAACTCCTTACCTGATTCAGTAGTAACAGCTCCATCGGTGAACGCTTTCAAAGAGAAACTGGATCTCTGCAGAGATATATATCGCGAGGATTAACATAGGCAACAAGAGCCTTCTATCCTTATAATCTGAATCGGAATGAATCTGAATCTGACATTTGGTGATATGACTCAAAACCGTTCTCAACGGCTGGCACAGATGCATTCACTCTTTGTGATTTACAATATCCAATAAAATTTTGTTGTTCTTCGATACTAATATTCTTC